AGGCAACTTTGGTGATGATGGACACGTGGCCTTAGGCACGAGTCAGGGTTTCCTAAATTTCCCATTAAAAAACATTTAGGTGGCGACTCTGTATCTGGCAAAGCAGTCCATGTTTGGCACTTCTTTCAAAAATCTGTTTTTCTCAAAACGATTTGCCAGATTTGGACTCTTTGGTTCAGATTTAGAACCGTGACTACAAAAATCGAGTCCGAGCTGTAGCGAGGTCCCCCGCGGGCTTGTTACAACCCCTTTTGCCGTTTTTTTTTTCACCCTTCCCCGGACAACTTATCCGATTTTTAGCCTATTTAATCGCCTTTGCCTCCTTTTCTTCAAATTTCTCGCTTTTAAACTATTTCCAGATTATCCTCTTCCATTCAATTTAATTTTTTGTCCTGATACTGCTTGGAACAATAAAGTCGCGATTAATCTTCGGGTGCGATCATGCAAACACTAATGCACCGGAACCCATCAGAACTCCGCAGTTATGCGTGCTTGGGAGAGAGTAGTACTAGGATGGGTGACCACGGCGAAGTCTTGATGTTACACCCCTTTTGCCCTTTTTTTTTTTCACCCTTCCCTGGACAACCTGTCCGATGTTTAGCCCATGCAATCGCCTTCCCCTCCTTTTCGACAAATTTCTCGCTTTTAAACCATTTCCAGATTATCCTCTTCCATTCAATTTCATTTTTTGTCCGTCTACTACTTAAAAAAATAAAGTCGCAGTCAATCTTTGGGTGCAATCATACACGCACTAATGCACTGGATCCCATCAGAACTCCATAGTTAAGCATGCTTGGGCGAGAGTAGTTTTAGGATGGGTGATCCCCGACAAAGTCCTCGTGTTGCACCCCTTTTGCCTATTATTATTTTTTTTTTACCCTTCCACGGCCAACTTGTCCGATTTTTAGCCCATTTAATCGCCTTCGTCTCCTTTATGGAAAATTTCTCACTTTTAAACCGTTTTAAGATTATCCACTTCCACTCAATTTCATTTTTTGTCCGGCTATTGCTTGAAACAATAAAGGCGCGGTCAATCTTTGGCTGCGATCATACTAGCACAAATGCACCGGATCCCATCAGAACTCCGCAGTTTAGCGTGCTCGGGCGAGAGTAGTACTAGGATGGGTGACCCCCTGGGAAGTCCTCGTGTTGCAACCTTCTGCCCTTTTTTTTTTTCACCTTTCCTAGGATAAACTTTCCGATTTTTAGCCCATTAAATCGCCTTCAACTCCTTTTCGACAAAATTCCTCGTTTTTAAGCCATTTCCAGATTATCCTCTCCCATTCAGTTTCATTCTTTGTCTGGCTACTTCTTAAAACAATGAGGTCGTGGTTAATCTTCGGGCACGATCATACCAGCACTAATGCACTGGATCCCATCAGAACTACACATTTAAGCGTGCTTTGGCGAGAGTAGCACTAGAATGGGTGACCCACTGGGAAGTCCACGTGTTGCACCCCTTTTTTTTTCCTTTTTTTTTTCACTCTTCCCCGAACAACCAGTCTGATTTTTAGCCCATTCAATCACTTTCGCCTCCTTTTCAACAAATTTCTTGATTTTAAATCGTTTCCAGATTATCCTATTCTACTCAATTTCATTTTTTGTCCGTCGACTGCTTGAAACAATAAAGTCGCGGTTAATCTTCGGGTGTGATCATACCAGCACTAATGCACTGGATCCCATCTGAACACAGTAGTTAAGCGTGCTTGGATGAGAGAAGTACTAGGATGGGTGACCCCTTGGGAAGTTCTCGTGTTGCAACCCTTTTGCCCATTTTTTTTTTCACCCTTCCCCGGGCAACCTGCCTGATTCTTAGCCCATTCAATCGCCTTCGCCTCATTTTCGACAAATTTCTCACTTTTAAACCATTTCCAAATTATTTTATTCCATTCAATATCATTTTTTATCCGTCTAATGCTTAAAAAAATAAAGTCGTGGTTAATCTTCGGGTGCGATCATACCAGCACTAATGTAGCAGATCCCATCAGAATTCCGCAGTTAAGCGTGCTTCGGCGGGAGTAGTATTAGGATGGGTGACCCCTTGGGAAGTCCTCGGGTAGGACACCTTTTGCCCATTTTTTTTTCACCCTTTCCTAGACAGCCTGTCCGATTTGTAGCCCATTCAATCGCCTTCGCCTCCTTTTCGAGAAATTTCTCGCTTTTAAACCATTTTCAGATTATCCTATCCCATTCAATTTCATTTTTTGTCCGTCTACTGCTCATAACAATAAAGTCGTGGTTAATCTTCGGGTGCGATCATACCAGAACTAATGCACCGGATCCCATCAGAACTCCGCAGTTAGGCGCGCTTGGGCAAGAGTAGTACTTGGATGGGTGACCCCCTGGGAAGTCCTTGTGTTGCACCCTTTTTGCCCCTATTTTTTTTTTCACCCTTCCCTAGACAACCTGTTCGATTATTAGCCCATTCAATCGCCTTCGCCTCCTTTTAGAGAAATTTCTCGCTTTTAAACCATTTTCAGATTATCCTATCCCATTCAATTTCATTTTTTGTCCGTCTACTGCTCATAACAATAAAGTCGTGGTAAATCTTCGGGTGCGATCATACCAGAACTAATGCACTGGAGCCCATCAGAACTCCGCAGTTAGGCGCGCTTGGGCAAGAGTAGTACTTGGATGGGTGACCCCCTGGGAAGTCCTTGTGTTGCACCCTTTTTGCCCCTATTTTTTTTTTTCACCCTTCCCTAGACAACCTGTTCGATTATTAGCCCATTCAATCGCCTTCGCCTCCATTTCGACAAATTTCTCACTTTTAAACCATTTCCTGATTATCCTATTCCATTCACTTTCATTTTTTCTCCGTCTACAGCTTAAAACAATAAAGTCACGTTTAATCTTCGGGTCCGATCAAACCAGCACTAACGCACCGGATCCTGTCAGAACTCCCCAGTTATGCGTGGTTGGGCGAGAGTAGTACTAGGATGGGTGACGTCCTGGGAAGTCCTCGTGTTGCACCCCTTTTGCCGTTCTTTTTTTTTCACCCTTCTCGAACAACCTGTAGAAAATTCTCGCTTTTAAACTATTTCCAGATTATCCTCTTCCATTCAATTTCATTTTTTGTCCGGATACTGCTTAGAACAGTAAAGTCGCGATTAATCTTCGGGTGCGATCATACCAGCACTAATGAACCGGATCCCATCAGAACTCCGCAGTTTAGCGTTCTTGGGCGAGAGTAGTACTGGAATGGGTGACCCCCTGGGAAGTCCTCGTGTTGCACCCCTTTTGCCCGATTTTTTCTTCTCTGTTTTTTATTTTTTTTATTTTTCCACCCTTCCCCAGACAACCTGTCTGATTTTTAGCCCATTCAATCGCCATCGCCTCCTTTTCGACAAATTTCTCTCTTTTAAATCAGTTTCAGATTATCCTATTCTATTCAATTTCATTTTTTGTCCGTCTACTGCTTATAACAATAAGGTCGTGGTTAATCTTCGGGTGAGATCATACCAGCACTAATGCACCGGATCCCATCAGAAATCTGCAGTTAGGCATGCTGGGGCGAGAGTAGTGGTAAGATGGGTGACCCCCTGGGAAGTCCTCGTGTTGCACCCCTTTTGCCCCTTTTTTTTTTTTTTCATCCTTCTCCAGACAACCTGTCCGATTTTTGGCTCATTCAATCGCCTTTGCCTCCTTTTCGACAAATTTCTATCTTTTAAACCATTTTCAGATTATCCTATCCCATTCAATTTCATTTTTTGTCCGTCTACTGCTCATAACAATAAAGTTGTGGTTAATCTTCGGGTGCGATCATACCGGGACTAATGCACCGGATCCCATCAGAACTTCGAAGTTAGGCGCGCTTGCGCAAGAGTAGTACTTGGATGGGTGACCCCCTAGGAGGTCATTGTGTTGCACCCCTTTTGCCCCTATTTTTTTTTCACCCTTCCCTAGACAACCTGTTTGATTATTAGCCCATTCAATCGCCTTCGCCTTCTTTTCGACAAATTTCTCGCTTTTAAACCATTTCCTAATTATCGTATTCCATTCAATTTCATTTTTTCTCCGTCTGCTGCTTAAAACAATAAAGTCACGGTTAATCTTCGGTTCCGATCAAACCAGCACTAACGCACCAGATCCCGTCAGAACTCTGCAGTTATGCGTAGTTGGGTGAGAGTAGTACTAGGATGGGTGACCCCCTAGGAAGTCCTTGTGTTGCACCCCTTTTGCCGTTTTTTTTTTCACCCTTCCCCGAACAACTTGTCCGATTTTTGGCCCATTCAAACGCCTTCGCCTCCATTTCTTCAAATTTCTCGCTTTTAAACTATTTCCAGGTTATCCTCTTCCATTCAATTTCATTTTTTGTCCAGATACTGCTTAGAACAGTAAAGTCGCGATTAATCTTCGGGTGTGATCATACCAGCACTAATGCACTGGAAGGCATCAGAACTCCGCAGTTAAGGGTGCTTGGGCGAGAGTAGTACTGGGTTGGGTGACCCCCGGTGAAGCCCTCGTGCTGAACACTTTCTGGACTTTTTTTCTTTTTTTTCCACACTTCCCGGGAAAAACCTGTTCGATTTTTAGCACATTCAATCTCCTTCCCCTCCTTTTCGAAGAAATTCTCGCTTTTAAACCATTTCCAGATTATCCGCTTCCATTCAATTTCACCTTTTGTCCGTCTACTATTTAAAGCAATAAAGTCGTTGTCAATCTTCGGGTGCAATCATACAAGCACTAATGCACCGGATCCCATCAGAACTCCGCAGTCAAGCATGTTTGGGCGAGAACAGTACTAGGATGGGTGACCCCTGGCAAAGTCCTCGTGTTGCACCGATTTTGCCCATTTTTTTTTTTCACTTTTTCCCTTTCCCGGCCAACCAGTCCGATTTTTAGCCCATTAAATCGCCTTCGCCTCCTTTACAAAAAATTTCTCTCTTTTAAACCATTATAAGATTATCCACTTCCATTCAATTTCATTTTTTGTCCGACTGCTGCTTGAAACAATAAAGTCGCGGTTAACCTCCGGGTGCGATTTTACCAGCACTAATGCATCGGATCCCATCAGAACTCCGCAGTTTAGCGTGCTTGGGCGAGAGTAGTACTAGGATGGGTGACCCCCTGGGAAATCCCCGTGTTGCAACCCTTTTGCCCTTTTTTTTTTCACCTTTCCCGGATAAACTGTCCAATTTTTAGCCCATTAAATCGCCATCAACTCATTTTCGACAAATTTCTCGTTTTTAAACCATTTCCAGATTATCCTCTCCCATTCAATTTCATTTTTTTTCTGGCTACTACTTAAAAAAATAAGGTCGCGGTTAATCTTCGGGTGCAATCATACCAGTACTAATGCACCAGATCCCATCAGAACTACGCATTTAAGCGTGCTTTGGCGAGAGTAGTACTAGGATGGGTGTTCCCCTGGGAAGTCCACTTGTTGCACCCCTATTGCCCCTTTTTTTTTTTCACCTTTCCCCGGACAACCAGTCCGATTTTTAGCCCATTCAATCACCTTCACCTCCTTTTCAACAAATTTCTCGATTTTAAATCATTTACAGATTATCCTATTCCATTCAATTTCATTTTTTGTTCGTCAACTCCTAGAAACAATAAAGACGCGGTTAATCTTCGGGCGAGATCATACCAGCACTAATGCACCGGATCCCATCAGAACTCCGCAGTCAAGCATGTTTGGGCGAGAGCAGTACTAGGATGGGTGACCCCTGGCAAAGTCCTCGTGTTGCACCGCTTTTGCCCTTTTTTTTTTCCCACTCTTTGGACAACCAGTCCGATTTTTAGCCCATTAAATCGCCTTCGCCTCCTTTACAAAAAATTTCTCTCTTTTAAACCATTATAAGATTATCCACTTCCATTCAATTTCATTTTTTGTCCGGCTACTGCTTGAAACAATAAAGTCGCGGTTAACCTCCGGGTGCGATTTTACCAGCACTAATGCATCGGATCCCATCAGAACTCCGCAATTTAGCGTGCTTGGGTAAGAGTAGTACTAGGATGGGTGACCCCTTGGGAAATCCTCGTGTTGCAACCCTTTTGCCCTTTTTTTTTTTTTTCACCTTTCCCGGATAAACTGTCCAATTTTTAGCCCATTAAATCGCCTTCAACTCATTTTCGACAAATTTCTCGTTTTTAAACCATTTCCAGATTATCCTCTCCCATTCAATTTCATTTTTTGTCTGGCTACTACTTAAAAAAGTAAGGTCGCGATTAATCTTTGGGTGCAATCATATCAGCACTAATGCACCAGATTCCATCAGAACTACGCATTTAAGCGTGCTTTGGCGAGAGTAGTACTAGGATGGGTGTTCCCCTGGGAAGTCCACTTGTTGCACCCCTATTGCCCCTTTTTTTTTTTCACCTTTCCCCGGACAACCAGTCCGATTTTTAGCCCATTCAATCACCTTCACCTCCTTTTCAACAAATTTCTCGCTTAAAAAAATAAGGTCGCGATTAATCTTTGGGTGCAATCATACCAGCACTAATGCACCAGATCCCATCAAAACTACGCATTGAAGCGTGCTTTGGCGAGAGTAGTACTAGGATGGGTGTTCCCCTGGGAAGTCCACTTGTTGCACCCCTTTTGCCCCTTTTTTTTTTTTTTCACCTTTCCCCGGACAACCAGTCCGATTTTAGCCCATTCAATCAACTTCGCCTCCTTTTTGACAAATTTCTCGATTTTAAATCGTTTCCAGATTATCCTATTCCATTCAATTTCATTTTTTGTTCGTCGACTCCTAGAAACAATAAAGACGCGGTTAATCTTCGGGCGAAATCATACCAGCACTAATGCACCGGATCACATCAAAACACCGCAGTTACGCGCGTTTGGAAGAGAGTAGTACTAGGACGGGTGACCCCCTGGGAAGGCCTCGGGTTGCAACCCTTTTGCCCCCCCTTTTTTTTTCACCCTTTCCCGGACAACCTGTCTGGTTTTTGGCCTATTCAATCGCCTTCGCCTCCTTTTCGACCAATATCTCACTTTAAAAACATTTCCAAATTATCGTATTCCATTCAATATCATTTTTTATTCGTCTACAGCTTAAAAAAATAAAGTCGTGGTTAATCTTCGGCTGCGATCATACCAGCACTATTGTAACGGATTTCATTAGAATTCCACAGTTAAGCGTGCTTCAGTGGGAGTAGTACTAGGATAGGTGACCCCCTGGGAAGTCCTCGTGTTGCACCCCTTTTGCCCATTTTTTTTTTCACCCTTCCCCGGACAGCCAGTTTGATTTTTAGCCCATTCAATCACCTTCGCCTCCTTTTCGACAAATTTCTCGATTTTAAATCATTTCTAGATTATCCTATTCCATTCAATTTCATTTTCTATCCGTCGACTCCTTGAAACAATAAAGTCGCGGTTAATCTTCGGGCGCGATCATACTAGCACTAATGCACTGGATCACATCAAAACAACGCAGTTACGCGTGTTTCGAAGAGAGTAGTACTTGGACCGGTGACCCCCTGGAAAGGCCTCGTGTTGCAACCCTTTTGCCTCGTCTTTTTTTTTTCACCCTTTCCCGGACAACCTGTCTGATTTTTGGCCCATTCAATCGCCTTCGCCTCCTTTTCGACAAACCTCTCACTTTTAAACCATTTTCAAATTATCCTATTCCATTCAATATCATTTTTTATCCGTCTATAGCTTAAAAAAATAAAGTCGTGGTTAATCTTCGGGTGCGATCATACCAGCACTACTGTAACGGATTCCATTAGAATTCCACAGTTAAGCGTGCTTTGACGGGAGTAGTACTAGGATGGGTGACCCCCTGGGAAGTCCTCGTGTTGCACCCCTCTTGCCCATTTTTTTTTTCTCCCTTCCACTGAAAGCCTGTCCGATTTTTACTTCATTCAATCGCCTTCGCCTCTTTTTCAACAAATTTCCTGCTTTTAAACCATTTCTAGAGTATCCACTTCCACTCAATTTCATTTTTTTTCTGGCTACTACTTAATACAATAAAGTTGCGGTTTATCTTCGGGTGCGATCATACCAGCACTAATGCACCGGATCCGATCAGAACTCCGCAGTTTAGCGTACGAGGGGCGAGAGTAGTACTGGGATGGGTGAACCGCTGGGAAGTTCTCGTGTTGCAACCCTTTTGTCCTTTTTATTCTTCTCTGTTTTTTTTTTCCACCCTTCACCAGACAACCTGTCCGATTTTTGGCCCATTCAATCGCCTTCGCCACCTTTTCAAAAAATTTCTCTCTTTTTAACCATTTCCAGAATATCCTATTCCATTCAATTTCAATTTTTGTCCATCTACAGCTTGTAACAATAAGATCGGGTTAATCGTCGAGTGAGATCATACCTGAACTAGTGCACCGGATCCCATTAGGACTCCGCAGTTAGACGTGCTTGGGCGAGAGTTGTACTAGGATGGGTGACTCCCTGGGGAGTCCTCATGTTGCACCCCTTTTGCCCCTTTTTTTTTTTTTTTTCACCCTGCCCCGGACAACCAGTTTGATTTTTAGCCCATTCAATCAACTTCGCCTCCTTTTCGACAAATTTCTCGAATTTAAATCGTTTCCAGATTATCCTATTCCATTCAATTTCATTTTTTGTCCGTTGATTCCTTGAAACAATAAAGTCGCGGTTAATCTTCGGGCACGATCATACCAGCACTAATGCACCAGATCACATCAAAACACCGCAGTTACGCGTGTTTGGAAGAGAGTTGTACTAGGACGGGTGACCCCCTGGGAAGGCCTCGTGTTGCAACCCTTTTGCCCCCCCTTTTTTTTTCACCCTTTCCCGGACAACCTGTCTGATTTTTAGCCCATTCAATCGCCTTCGCCTCCTTTTCGACAAATCTCTCACTTTTAAACCATTTTCAAATTATCCTATTCCACTTAATATCATTTTTTATCCGTCTACAGCTTAAAAAAATAAAGTCGTGGTTAATCTTCGGGTGCGATCATACCAGCGCTAATGTAACGGATTCCATTAGAATTCTACAGTTAAGCGTGCTTCGGCGGGGGTAGTACTAGGATGGGTGACCTCTTGAGAAGTCCTCGTGTTGCACCGCTTTTGCCCAATTTTTTTTTTCTCCCTCCCCGGACAGCCTGTCCGATTTTTAGCCCATTCAATCGCGTTCACCTCTTTTTCAACAAATTTCCCGCTTTTAAACCATTTCTAGAGTATCCACTTCCATTCAATTTCATTTTTTGTCCGGCTACTACTTAAAACAATAAAGCTGCTGTTTATCTTCGGGTGTGATCATACCAGCACTAATGCACTGGATCCGATCAGAACTCCGCAGTTTAGCGTACGAGGGGCGAGAGTAGTACTGGAATGGATGAACCGCTGGGAAGTTCTCATGTTGCACCCATTTTGTCCTTTTTATTCTTCTCTATTTTTTTTTTCCACCCTTCACCAGACAACCTGTCCGATTTTTGGCCCATTCAATCGCCTTCGCCACCTTTTCGAAAAATTTCTCTCTTTTTAACCATTTCCAGATTATCCTATTCCATTCAATTTCAATTTTTGTCCGTCTACAGCTTGTAACAATAAGATCGTGGTTAATCTTCGGGTGAGATCATACCTGAACTAATGCACCGGATCCCATCAGGACTCCGCCGCTAGGCGTGCTTGGGCGAGAGTTGTACTAGGATGGGTGACTCCCTGGGAAGTCCTCGTGTTGCACCCCTTTTGCCCCCTTTTTTTTTGTTTCACCCTTCCCCGGACAACCAGTTTGATTTTCAGCCCATTCAATCACCTTTGCCTCGTTTTCGACAAATTTCTCGATTTTAAATTGTTTCCAGATTATCCTATTCCATTCAATTCCATTTTTTGTCCGTTGACTCCTTGAAACAATAAAGTCGCGGTTAATCTTCGGGCACGATCATACCAGCACTAATGCACCAGATCACACCAAAACACCGCAGTTACGCGTGTTTGGAAGAGAGTAGTACTAGGACGAGTGACCCCCTGGGAAGGCCTCGTGTTGCAACCCTTTTGCCCCCCTTTTTTTTTCACCCTTTCCCAGACAACCTGTCTGATTTTTGGCCCATTCAATCGCCTTCGCCTCCTTTTCGACAAATCTCTCACTTTTAAACGATTTTCAAATTATCCTATTCCACTCAATATCATCTTTTATCCGTCTACAGCTTAAAAAATAAAGTCATGGTTAATCTTCGGGTGCGATCATACCAGCGCTAATGTAACGGATTCCATTAGAATTCCACAGTTAAGCGTGCTTCGGCAAGAGTAGTACTAGGATGAGTGACCCCTTGGGAAGTCCTCGTGTTGCACCCCTTTTGCCCATTTTTTTTTCTCCCTTCCCCGGACAGCCTGTCCGATTTTTAGCCCATTCAATCGCCTTCGCCTCTTTTTCAACAAATTTCCCGCTTTTAAACGATTTCTAGAGTATCCACTTCCATTCAATTTCATTTTTTGTCCAGCTACTACTTAAAACAATAAAGTTGCGGTTTATCTTCGGGTGCGATCATACCAGCACTAATGCACCGGATCCGATCAGAACTCTGCAGTTTGGCGTACGAGGGGCGAGAGTAGTACTGGGATGGGTGAACCGCTGGGAAGTTCTCGTGTTGCACCCCTTTTGTCCTTTTTATTCTTCCCTATTTTTTTTTCCACCCTTCCCCAGACAACCTGCCGATTTTTGGCCCATTCAATCGTCTTCGCCTCCTTTTTGAAAAACTTCTCTCTTTTTAACCATTTCCAGATTATCCAATTCCATTCAACTTCAATTTTTGTCCATCTACAGCTTGTAACAATAAGATCGTGGTTAATCTTCGGGTGAGATCATACCTGAACTAATGCACCCGATCCCATCGGGACTCCGTAGTTAGGCGTGTTTGGGCGAGAATTGTACTAGGATGGGTGACCCCTTGGGAAGTCCTCGTGTTGCACCCCTTTTGCCGCTTTTTTTTTTTTTCACCCTTCCCCGGACAACCAGTTTGATTTTTAGCCCATTCAATCATCTTCGTCTCCCTTTCGACAAATTTCTCGATTTTAAATCGTTTCCAGATTATCCAATTCCATTCAATTTCATTTTTTGCCCGTTGACTCCTTGAAACAATAAAGTCGCGGTTAATCTTCGGGCACGATCATACCAGCACTAATGCACCATATCACATCAAAACACCGCAGTTACGCGTGTTTGGAAGAGAGTAGTACTAGGACGGGTGACCCCCTAGGAAGGCCTCGTGTTGCAACCCTTTTGCCCCCCCTTTTTTTTTCACCCTTTCTCGGACAACCTGTCTGATTTTTAGCCCATTCAATCGCCTTCGCCACCTTTTCGACAAATCTCTCACTTTTAAACCATTTTCAAATTATCCTATTCCACTCAATATCATTTTTTATCCATCTACAGCTTGAAAAAATAAAGTCGTGGTTAATCTTCGGGTGCGATCATACCAGCGCTAATGTAACGGATTCCATTAGAATTCCACAGTATGAGCGTGCTTCGACGGAAGTAGTACTAGGATGGGTGACCTCTTGGGAAGTCCTCGTGTTGCACCTTTTGCCCATTTTTTTTTCTTCCTTCCTTAGACAACCTATCCGATTTTTAGCCCATTCAATCGCCTTCGCCTCTTTTTCAACAAATTTCCCGCTTTTAAACCATTTCAACAGTATCCACTTCCAATCAATTTCATTTTTTCTCCGGCTATTACTTAAAATAATAAAGTTGCGGTTTATCTTCGGGTACGATCATACCAGCACTAATGCACCAGATCCGATCAGAACTCCGCAGTTTAGCGTGCGAGGGGCGAGAGTAGTACTGGGATGGGTGAACCCCTTGGAAGTTCTCGTGTTGCACCCCTTTTGTCTTTTTTTTCTTCTCTGTTTATTTTTTTCCACCCTTCCCCAGACAACCTGTTCGATTTTTGGCCCATTCAATCGCCTTCGCCTCGTTTTCGAAAAATATCTCTCTTTTAAACCATTTTCAGATTATCCAATTCCACTCAATTTCAATTTTTGTCCGTCTACTGCTTGTAACAATAAGGTCATGGCTAATCTTCGGGTGAGATCATACCTGAACTAATGCACCGGATCCGATCAGGACTCCGCCGTTAGGCGTGCTTGGGCGAGAGTTGTACTAGGATGGGTGACCCCCTGGGAAGTCGTAGTGTTGCACCCCTTTTGCCCCCTTTTTTTTTTTTTTCACCCTTCCCCGGACAACCAGTTTGATTTTTAGCCCATTCAATCACCTTCGCCTCCTTTTCGACAAATTTCTCGATTTTAAATCGTTTCCAGATTATCCTATTCCATTCAATTTAATTTTTTTGTCCATTGACAGCTTGAAACAATAAAGTCGCGGTTAATCTTTGGGTGCGATCATACCAGCACTAATGCACCGGATCCGATTTGAACACCGCAGTTAAGCGTGCTTGGATGAGAGAAGTACTAAGATGGGTGACCCCCTGGGATGTCCTCGTGTTGCGAACCTTTGGCCCTTTTTTTTTCATCGTTCCCCGGGCAACCTGTCTGATTTTTAGCCCATTGAATCGCCTTCGCCTCCTTTTCGCCAAATTTCTCACTTTTAAACCATTTCCAAGTTATCCTATTCCATTCAATATCATTTTTAATCCGTCTACTGCTTAAAAAAATAAAGTCGTGGTTAATCTTTGGGTGCGATCATACTAGCACTAATGTAGCGGATCCCATCAGAATTCCACAGTTAAGCGTGCTTGGGCGGGAGTAGTACTAGGATGGGTGACCCCCTGGGAAGTCCTCACGTAGGACACCTTTTGCTCATTTTTTTTTTCCATCCTTCCCCGGAGAACCTGTCCGATTTTTAGCCCATTCAATCGCCTTCGCCTCCTTTTCGACAAATTTCTCCCTTTTAAATCATTTCCAGATTATCCTATTCCATTCAATTTCATTTTTTGTCCGTCGACTACTTAAAACAATAAATTCGCATTAATCTTCGGGTGCAATCATACCAGCACTAATGCACCGGATCCCATCAGAACTCTGCAGTTTAGCGTGCTTGGGCGAGAGTAGTACTAGGATGGGTGACCCCTTGGGAAGTCCTCGTGTTGCACCACTTTTGCCCGGTTTTTTCTTCTCTATTTTTTATTTTTTTTATTTTTCCACCCCTCTCCAGACAACCTGTCCGATTTTTAGCCCATTCAATCGTCTTCGCCTCCTTTTCAACAAATTTCATTTTTTGTCCGTCTACTGCTTATAACAATAAGGTTGTGGTTAATCTTCCGGTGAGATCATACCAGCACAAATGCACCAGCTCCCATCAGAAATCTGCAGTTATGCGTGCTTGGGCGAGAGTAGTGCTAGGATGGGTGACCCCCTGGGAAATCCTTGTGTTGCAAACCTTTTACCCCTTTTTTTTTCACCGTTCCCCAGGCAACTTGTCTGATTTTTAGCCCATTCAATCACCTTCGCCTCCTTTTCGACAAATTTCTCTAGTTTATACCATTCCCAAATTATCCTATTCCATTCAATATCATTTTTAATCCCTCTCCTGCTTAAAAAAATAAAGTCGTGGTTATCTTCGGGTGCGATCATACCAGCACTAATGCAGCGGATCCAATCAGAATTCCGCAGTTAAGCGTGCTTGGGCGAGAGTAGTACTAGGTTGGGTGACCCCCTGGGAAGTCCTCCTGTAGGACACCTTTTGCCCATTTTTTTTTTTCACCCTTCCCCGGGCAGCCTGTCCGATTTTTAACCCATTCAATCGCCTTCGCCTCCTTTTCGACAAATTTCTCGCTTTTAAATCATTTCCAGATTATCCTATTCCATTCAATTTCATTTTTTGTCCGTCGACTGCTTAAAACAATAAAGTCGCGGTTAATCTTCGGGTGCGATCATACCAGCACTAATGCACCGGATCCCATCAGAACTCCGCAGTTTAGCGTGCTTGGGCAAGAGTAGTACTGGGATAGGTGACCCCTTGGGAAGTCCTCGTGTTGCACCTCCTTTGCCCGATTTTTTCTTCTCTGTTTTTTATTTTTTTTATTTTTCCACCCTTCCCCAAACAACCTGTCCGATTTTTAGCCTATTCAATCGCCTTCGCCTCCTTTTCGACAAATTTCTCTCTTTTAAACCAGTTTCAGACAATCCTATTCCTTTCAATTTCATTTTTTGTCCGTCCACTGCTTATAACAATAAGGTCGTGGTTAATCTTCGGGTGAGATCATACCAGGACTAATGCACCGGATCCCATCAGAACTCCACAGTTAGGCGTGCTTGGGCAAGTGTAGTACTTGGATGGGGGACCCCTTGGGAAGTCCTCGTGTTGCACCCCTTTTGCCCCCTTTTTTTTTCACACTTCCCTAGACAACCTGTTCGATTTTTAGCTCATTCAATCGCCTTCGCCACCTTTTCGACAAATTTCTCGATTTTAAACCATTTCCTGATTATCCTATTCCATTCAATTTCATTTTTTCTCCATCTACTGCTTAAAACAGTAAAGTCATGGTTAATCTTCGGGTCCGATCAAACCAGCACTAACGCACTTGATCCCGTCAGAACTCCGCAGTTATGTGTACTTGGCCAAGAGTAGTACTAGGATGGGTGACCACCTGGGAAGTCCCCTTGTTGCACCCCTTTTGCTGTTTTTTTTTTCATCCTTCCCCGGACAACCTGTCCGATTTTTAGCCCATTCAATCGCCGTCGCCTCATTTTCTTCAAATTTCTCGCTTTTAAACTATTTCCAGATTATCA